GATACTGGTGTAAATTGCACTGAATTGCATGGTTACATTTTTTTGAAGTAACATGTCAGGGAATAATGAAAAACAGCCCATTAGAATTCCCTAGAGGCCAAAGTGACAGCCCATCAGCCCCAAACCCAAAGGTACAAGAGCAATACTGCAACTCCTCCCATTAGAGAAGCTGGCACTAGAGAATGTAACTTAAACCCCTGTCATTCGTTTTGATAGTCGATTCTGAAAATTGGTTCAGCCCTACTGTGTGGTAATATGAAGTTATGTCAAACAGTCTAATTGTGACTCCACTGAGAGATAAGTTTTAATAATTAACTCCAACAGTAGCTCTAACATAATGAATTGAACACTATCACAAGTCTTATTCCTCTTGTTTGCAGGTGCAAACACACAGATGCACCATCATTCTTAAATTCAGAGCAACCAATCTGTAAAAATTGAACCATAGGAACAATAGCAGAGTTTTAGATTCAATTCAGAAACTCTATATACGTGCTGTGATTGAAAAATTATAAACTATCCTTTTGATAACAATTGAAATAATAATGTAAATATTTGTAAGCAGCAGTCGTAATGCCTTTACTGTTATTTATGAGTCTCAGGTGTGCTGAAACTTTACTGAATCATCTGTATCATTTGCTTTTTTCCAAGTGTGTCTTCGTATCCAGATCAACCCACAGAACAAAGGAGAGTTCCTGTCTATCTCCCCAGAGAGAGCCTTTGCTGACTTTCTGTTCGCTCACACCGTCCTTCATCTGGTTGTGATGAACTTCATTGGCTGAAAAGGACGTGCATCTGACTCAGTGTCCCACTCTCACAAGAGGTATATATTTCACACATGCATTTTTCACTTTAGGAGTTTTTAAAGTTTGATTTTTAAAAAAGCCACTTGTGCTTATAACCCCATTGTCAGTCTATTTCAAGTTACAGTGAAGATATCCACACTTATACAACATATCCAGCATCCACTAATTATATTATTTTCAGTTGTTAGTTTTCCTTCCCGCTGTGTGCTTTAAGCTGCTGCTGATGTTTTCTGCAGTTGTTGGTTAATATTACCTCCTTGTTTGAGTGATTTGTCTCATATCAAGGTGCAGCTAGCCCTTTCTGGAGCCCACTAGTCAACTGAATATTTTCAGCACTCAGGGCCTAGAAGAGGGCTATTCAACTATATTGCTCAGGGGACCACAACACATTTTCAAAACTTTTATTTCGCTACATTGTAAAAGTAGCCTGATAAATCAAGAAATACACTCTATAGGTAATTAGGCATTTTGCTTAATTTCGCTTTCTTTGCAACACAATCTGTGATATAGCCCCTAATGTTACCACATATTTGAAACAAATCATGTCATCCATGTAGCATATCATTTGGCCATTTTGACATCTCTTACCCAGCGACATCACAGCGTTTCCTGTAAACAGGTATCACATTTTTCTTGTCTTCTGGCCACTTCTGCATCTTCAATGAAATACTTTACTTATTCATTCATCGTTTCAGTATTCCCCAGTTCTCTTTAAACCTCTCAAATCAGAAAACACAGAAACGGCCTTGCCTGCACGCCTATGGGCTGCTAATGAGAGAGATTGCACTTATTTGATGGGAGATGGCAGAGAATGGCAGGCTGTTGATTAGTTCAGAATAAAAGTCCATTATAAAAGTTTAAAAGCAAATTGGTCAAGGATGAACGGCAATTACTTTACTTTAAAGAATCTAATTTAGATTTTGCACCTTCAGTAACTTTGAAGGTAATGTGTGATATAAATGAGTGTTTATAGCGTAGAGTCTCAATGGACAATAAATGGGAGATTTTATGAACTCAAAGGATGTTTAAGTGGGCTTTTATATGGGTAAATGCTTTAGTGTATTGGTTTATGCTTGTAAAACTAGTATACCCTTGTCCTTTGGGTGCTCTCAGTCACATTAACCATTCTTGCGAGTTCATCATTTCATTCTTAGTGGAACAGCTCCAGATAATAGTGCATTTGATAAGATAGGCTTAAGTCTCACTTCTCTGGGGAGATCCACATGATACCACATATTGCTTTTGCTTTACTAGAAAACAGTGTTATTGAATTTTTAGACTTGCAGGCAGACGGAAAGGCCATACTCCCATTTTCTTGTCTCCCAATTGCTTCTAAATAACTGCTCCCGTAACCTCCGTGACACTAACCCGGCCACCTCTTCTGTTTTTTTCCTCCCATAGATCACGACAAGAGAAGTTATCAAAACTGTCCTTTAAGACATGATGCTACATCTGCTTTTGTGACAATGATTTGGAGAGTCCCATCCCACCATCAACAATGAATTAGCTGCGTTTTGTCACATATGCAGTACAATTTTCTTACCAAAAATGGTTGATTTCGTCATTTTTTTATGTTAAAATTTGTAAAGCATTCCCTTTTTGCACCAAGAAGAAATAAAATAACTGAAATGGTGACCTTGTGAATAATGAAGCAGTTCTTGAATGAGACCTACTGATTCCGTTTTAGTTTTAACAACTAAAGTTGTTTTTAATAATATACTGTTTAAGGCAAGGAAGTTAAGAATAGTGAGCATGTATTGTGTCTGAAGACTTATAAAAGATGTATCTAAATCTTTTGAATGCATTGTATTCTCTTAAGTGAGTAGGAACAGGTCTAGGTTTTAATACAAAGACACATTTGTACATTACAGGTGGAAAATATGCTCATATGGAACAAAATTTTTATTTATTTTTATTACATTGTAAGTATGTTACGTTAAACAATACCACAAGCATCAGACAGTGCTGTACATAAGTTCCTCTGTAACCCACCCCATATAGTCATTACAGCTTCAAATATAGGACTTTTATCATCAGGTTTTGGATGAGCTGCATGCTACATCTTTAGTTGGCTGCAGTGAAATAAATAGTGCACATTGACATGAAAGGTCTCCATCCCTTATATAACTTGTTTTGAAACCTACAATGAAGAATGGAGACTGCAGTATATTCTTGAGCCAAAGAGACAGAGTGTGGGGCTTCTACTTGAGCAGCAGGCCCAGAGTTGGGTGGGGGGGAGCAAGAACATTACACCCCAGAGCAATGAGAGGGTTTGCTTTTATGACTTGTTCTGGAATAATTGATAAGAGTCAGTTGCTTTAAACTGCACAGAGCTGTGGGGTGTGAATGTGTCGGCCAGTTTGAACTGGATATGAAACTAAATTGCATACGGAGATGAAAACCAGACTGAATCATGTTGGCAACCCAGGTTTCCTCTTTAAAGGTCAGAGCTAAATTTCTGCAATGCTGATTTAATAGCAGAGAAAGAGGTAGTCCATATACCTCTTCATATGAAATGGATGACATTAGCACGCAGTAAATGTCTCGTCCTGGATATAGGGTAGGTAAGTGGAAGCTACTTGTGGTTTCAAATTTAAGGGGGTAGCATTATCTTCAGGTTAATGGATGTTCAATGGATGGTATCGTAGCTCCAAGCTGAAGTGATGCTTTCCATCACATCTGCATCTGTTGGATGAGCTAATATCTCCTCTGAAAAATGCACTTGAGTAAAAGATCTGAGTACTTTTTCCACCACTAGTATAATTATTACTGATGCATTTACATGTAAGCAATATTTTAAGGTCATTTGTCAAGTAGAGCTGATTCTAGCTATTTTATAAAATGTTTGATCAATTTAAAGTATACCAATCTGCAAAGTAACGGTGTCAAGTATATGTAGTACAGTAGTTGCCTCGGAAATGTAGTGGAGTAGAGTACAATACAACTACAATACTGATGTAAAGTACAAGTATTTAAGTTGAGTAAATGTACTTTCCACTTTTTTTCTTGAAAGTAGACAGTATTTTAAGGAAGTAATTTATTTTGTTGATCTAATATGTCTTTTTGACTAAACTGCTTCTACTTACACTGGAAGAAAAACAATCTCATTAAGTAGTCTCTATTTAGAGCCTACTGGGCAAAGTATTGGTATTACATATAAGTCAGACAGACATTACCGATTTTCACAAAGCTAAAAAGGAATGTCAGGAAATTGGGATATGTCCATGACCTTAAATGGCTGAAGATAATCACTTTCGTAAAAGTTAAGCTTCGTTTCTCAAATCTGCCTGAAGTTGCCATAAGAATGAGGTCAGTTTCAATTCTGAGTCCTGCCTCCATTTTCCCAGGAAATGGATGACCATAAAAGGCTTTGTAGCCAGAGCATGAAGCATGGGACTTTATGGACGTCCGTGACACCCTTCACAGAGCAAATTGAAAGGCTTGAAATAATTGTTTGTTAATTCAGTGGCTGAGGGGACTGTGTTGAAGATTAATCCAACAAATGACGACTGGACCAAATCCAAAGTTTTCAGGCTTCAAAATCAAATCATTTCATTGCAGCCTGCCAAATGATTTCTCTGCATTCATGGAAGAAAAGGCTCTCAACATTTGGAATATGGTATTAAAAAGATGGCTAACATTGAAATATGTATTTATAATAAATAAAAGGAGGATATGTAATTATAAAGATGACAATGTTTAAACGTACAGGCGAAAACCTTTGGAAATAAGCTTATTCGCTTTCTGCTTAGAGTTAGATGAGAAGATTGATGCCACTCTTTGAACACTGAGTGGTAAAAATCTTGGAGTGGCATCAATCTTCTCATCTAACTCTTGGGAAGAAAGCAATTAAGCCTATTTCTCACAATGTTGAACTATTCCCCTAAGGTCCTTGTTTCTTGAATATCAGGGAGTGTCTGAGAACGTAAATAAATCCTCTGCAAATGTCAAGGATGCTGAAGGCATTAGCAAATTGATCACCTTACAGACTTTTGGTTGATTTACAATTTTTTCACACATTTTACATTAGGTGGTAGTAAATTCAACTACCCCTTTAAAAGGTTTCATGACATATTTATAGACAGAAAGTCATAGATAAATCATAGTATTTTACATCAGATGTTTACTAAAAATGTTTCCTGACTTAAAATCTAACTGGCACCTACTTGGTTAACATCTGGAACATCTGGATCCAACATACGGTCACGTGACCAAGGGGAAACAGACACTGCGGAACCTGGAGTCTGTGCACAGGCGAGAGAATTCACTTGGTAAACTTCAAACTGACGGTGAAACATGCACTTCTTCATGTTTGTCCTCGGCCTGTTACCATGGATCCCAGGTAATAACTGTGACTACTGAGGTCATATGCTTACAAATGTTGCAAAATAAGCCTTTTCAGCAGCTTTTTTTGTACATAATTGATTAAAAAAGAAGAGTTCACAGGATGTCTATAATGGTGTAACCCCTCACTTTATTATTGTGCTTTTGTCAAATACTGGTGCAACAAGATGTTTCTTATGCTTTACTTCACCTTACTATTTCGTTATGTTATTAATCATTTATTGAAGACACCCTAGATAGGTTGGTAAAGTTACCATTTTCTGCGGGAACCAGAAAAAGCATTTGTGTGTGTGTGTTTTTTTTAAAGTCTCCCAAGCTTCTGAGCTGTTTGCCCCTTTGGCAAAGAGTATGTTTCATGTGTGTTTTGTCAAGTCTCCAATGACCTGTTAAATTTGTCCCCCCAAATCCCTATTATAGAGGGTTAATCCAGTTTTGCAATAAGAAGTATAGAGAGGGAAGTGAAAGTAAATATGTTTTGTTACAATGTAAACTGAAACCGTGTATGTGTATTATGTAAGGTCACTTTCTTGTTCCCTCAGTCGTAGAAGTGTCCACTGTTAGTTACTGTTCTGACTGCAGCGTGATAACTGAAAGTTGAAGTTCAACTTACATTCAGTCATCTTTACTTTCCATCAGCCTTCCTCTGCGGTGTAACCACTGGGAAAGAGCTCACAGTCATGGAGGGTCAATCCCTCACTATCCCGTGTCATTATGAGCCTCAGTATGCCAGCTATGTAAAATACTGGTGTCAGGGGAGAATGAGGGAGTTCTGCACCAGCTTAGCTCGAACAGATAATCTCCATTCAGCCAATCCAGAGGACAAAGTGACCATTTTTGACGATCCGGTCCAGCTGGTGTTCACTGTGACCATGAGCAACCTGAAGGAGGAGAACTCTGGATGGTACATGTGTGGCGTGGAGATAGGCGGTGTGTGGAGCGCTGATGTTGTGGCTTACACTTACATCAAGGTTATTCATGGTGAGTAATGGAGTGAGTCTGAACTGATAAACCTTAATTGATTGCGGGAGGAGAAAAAAAATAATTCTAATGCATTTCAAAGGCAAGCTCTAAACGTAAGTTGATTTCTTTCCTGCAGGTATTTCAGCGGTGAGCAGCCAACTGAGTGGGGAAGAAGGGAGTAGTGTCACAGTTGAATGCATCTACAGTGAGAGATACAGGTATTTGATTCATACTATTACTATTATATCAATGTTATTTACTGTCAGGCAATGTAGAATTCTCACATGTAGATTCCAACATTTATAAAGTATCAGTAAACCCGAGAAACATGTTTTTTTGTTTGAGATCTTCAATTCAAGCCAAATTCTGATGGACAGCCAGCCTTCACTGACTCCCCTGTGACTGCTTGCCAACAGAGAAAGTGAGAAGAAGTGGTGTCGGAGTGGAGACTGGAGCTCCTGTCTGCTGACGGGTTCTGACGGGAGCTACGAAGACACTTCAGTGGCCATCAATGATGACAGAACTAGGACTTTCACTATAACCTTAAAGAAGCTGCAGATGCGAGATACCGGCTGGTACTTGTGTTCTGCAGGACAGCAGCAGATATCCGTGCATGTGCTGGTCACACCCCGACCCACAACTAGTAGGTTGACTGAGAACCCTTAAAATTAAAGAAGTATATTTTAGTTGATCAGTTTCTTGCACTGAATGATAATCTAGACAAGTTAGTGAGCCATACGTATTTGATTGATTGTTTACTTTCATTAATTGATTTTGTGGGCAATTAGGTGCAGTGGAACAGGCAAACACAAAATTTACATCTTATCACCTTGTAAAGTTGAAATGCCAAACATTTTAGCCAACAGCCTTTTCGCACTTTCACTGAACAACATCAGCATTCATTTAAGATTGTGTTACTTTGTTTTGGTTTTCACCAATTCCTGAGAAAATGACATTTAGCGCTGGGCAGGTTGCATACAGTAGGTTTATGAGAGCCTTTTTAGTGAAAAACAGCTGCTGCTTAAGTGAGGTTTATGAGAGCAGTGAGAGTGAACCAAAACCGAAGTAGAATAGAACTGCAGTCAGGTGATCAGTCTCTGTGGTTTCGTCACTATGAGCGGCCCAAGAGTCTGCAGCCAAACTAGCGACTCTGTGTCTTAATTTAATAGCATAAAATAAAAATACTATTTTGCTTTTTAGCCAATAGCCCAAATCCTCAGGCAAACAATTATGTTATTTCCTTGCGGATCAACTGTCCAAAGTAACATTGCTGTGGAAAAGTGAAGTCACTCTCTCTATTTTGCTGTTTGTGTCTATTACGCAACTTTTTACCCCAAACCGAGAAGTAGAAGGGGTCGGTTCCAGTCCCACTTCCTACATTACTTTATGATGTTTACAACATTCATAATTCGAAGGTGGGTCAGCTCAGTTTATGTGAATTATTAAAGTACCCTCTGCTCTCAGCAGTCTTTCGAGTGAACAGACCCCAAAAAAAGACTGATTGACTTCAATCTACTGGCACAATCAGCACACATGTCATTTACTAACCTGTGATGAAGTGTTTGCTACAGAAGTACACTATTATTGACCCACAGTTTATTTTCATCCTCTATGAGGATGTCCTGATGCCACAGATCTCTCTCAGTGCTTGTTTTCACCCAAAAGGGGGCGTGTACATATGCCTGCTCTGGTCACCATCTGAGCCTGTTAGCATGCTAACATTTACTATTTGGTACTTGTCAAAAGGTACAGGTGAGGTTGATGGGAATGTTAATAGTTTTTCAGGTATTTGGCAAGAGGCAACAATTGAAAAATGTATCCAATGCAGAAGTGCCAAAAAACTCCAGTTACTGGAATGGCCACTTGAGGCTGGTTTCAAAAGTAAGTCAATTCCCAGTGACCCCCATGTTAAAATGTCCAAATTTACAGTAGAAATAAACAAGTGTACAGCCTGACACAAAAAATGGTTTTGGTCACTGTAGCTAATTTGCTGATCATGACAACTGTATGGGTGTAATATATATAAATATAATCATCCATTTAAATTATATTAAAGCTTAAATGTGTGCATTATTAGGGGCATGGCCTCTTTAAGTGACAGGTTGGTGCCATCACAAGTGGTTAGCCTCAGCTCCACCGACTGTTTTTCCACCGTTGCCCTTTTATGGGCTAGCCAGGAGTTAGGAGCATCATTGCCAAGATGGCTATGACAGGTGCTAATCACATTAAGCTTCACACTCACTCTTCAGAAACCTATAAGTGATGTCACACTTATATTATGAAAATTCTTAGGAGCAGGTAAACTCTTCTCTCAGAGGAAGTTCTCAAGAAAACCCAAGATGTCTTACAAAACGTTATTTACTGAAACCCACCTGGAGAGACAGGCAATAGAAAAGACCTAAAGAGTGAGCACACAATGTAGAACCACCAAATCTTAAGAGGCCTTCCTGGTCCACAATATTTATCCCTGTTTTATCCCATACTGTCTATGGTGTGCTCCATATAAAGTTATCCTTAACTGACCTACTGGTTGCTAGACTAAAATCCCTTACTCAAGCTACACTGAAGCAGTGAGGACATGCATAACATTCTGAAGAGAGCCAGTCAGTGTGTCTGTAATGAAGCAAAATAAACATAATCTTGACCTTGGGTTACCTCGGAGATGGATCAGAGTGCATCCTTATCAAGACAGCTGAGCCAGGCAGTTGAAGAAGCAGACAGAGAGGAGAGTCTGACCTACTGTTTTGGGAGACTGTCCTCACCAGAAAAATGACAATATAAGTCGTTTGTGCAGCACGTTATTACGAACCATATTTACCAAACTTTTGTTGCCATCCCCAGAGATATTCCGCTACCATGACTAAAAAATCTGAGAAGTTCCTTTTAAATTAGGTGGTGATGGTGCAGTGTATAAGACACATCCCTTTGGTGTGAGAGACTTGCCAATCAATTATTAAAAAGTTCTGCATCTACACGACCTTTTAAAATGAGAAGTAACCAAGCGCAGCTTTAAAAATCAATATGTGTTTGTGACAGATGGCAGGGGCACTTAGATCTCCAGCTGTAGAAGGTATTGATTATTATGAATCACCTATCATACCTAATATCGATGTTATGAACTTGGCAGGTGCTGCCTCAAACACTATTTTGCTAATAGTACCGCATTTTTCAGTGTATAATATCTTTATCTGCAGCAGCAGTGTCTGTGACTTTCCCACCTACAACAAATCACTCTGCCAAATACCTGCCTCCACCCAAACCCATCACCAAGGAGTCCTGGAACAATTACAGGTAAGAGTGAACCTTACCAATATGCTTTCCACCAAAATGTCTCCTCTCCCACACCTTCCATGTATGATGTGAAGTCTTTCACACTACTAACCATTACAGATGCTTCACCATACCATCATGATGGAGTTCACTCAAGTTCAGCTCAGTCAAGCACAGATAATGATCATCCCATTCTTGCCCGGGAATATGTAGGCCTATCTGTCAAAATCTTGGCCGTTGTGTTACTATGTAAGAACAGATGCAGTATAAGCCTGAGCTGCTCTTGAAGCTGTACTATCTGATAAGATCACTGTGTTTGCATCTGTGTTGTAGTCACATCTGGGAGCCTTTGATGGTATGTGCTTCTGTAATGGTCTTTGTGGGCTTGGCCATGTTGGCGAAAAGGTTGTGGAAATTGCACAGTAAGGCAACTTCTCCTTTCTTTAAACATTTAATATTAAATCTGGGCAGAATCATGCCATTAATCTTCTCTACGAACTATTTTACATGCATTAAATATATTTGCATAAGATATTTGCATTATTATTATTTGTGACTGAAATATTCTTAATATCATTTATAGAGCAGGATCCTGTGCTGGAGACGAAAGCAAGGCTCAATGTAAGTCCCTACTAAAATAGCTGTCACTGTTTTATTACATACTATTTAAAAATAATTACCATTATCAAGGATATGCTTTAGCAATTATCATAATTATTTTCTTTCTGTCTCCCACAGAAGTATTCAGGGGGTGACCTGCAAAACACTGCTGTCGTTTTCATTAACAAGGATTCCCAGGATGTACATATGTACAGAGCTTAGTCAGTGCAATTTTTATTGTTACTCTTCATAAATGAATGTAATTTCTTTCGTTTTGTCCATGCAGCACATGCTTTATTTCAAGTTTCTTTAATATGTTATATAGAACCACATTTTAAGCAATGTACGCTGTTTTCTGCTTGCTTCTTTCTATATGCAACTGGTATAGGAGAAGAGTGCACCTCTCATGTAAGGCAAATTTACCAACATACAATCACGTGATCTTCTGTTTAATTTGGGCAAAAGCAGCGTCATGATTACCACTAAGGACATTGAGGCAGGGCTGGACTATATGGACAAAAATGTTAGCATGATAAAAAGTTTCATATCTTTCGATATCGATAATTATCATGATAAGTATCAAAAGCTTATGGTTAATTGTGGTTTAAACTCTTCATTATGGTCAACACTTGAGGCCAAACAGTGGATCACTCCACCATTTCAATAAAACTTGCAGAAAATATACTTCAACAGCTAATTCAATAAATAATATTTACAAAATGTTTTCTTTTGGTCTCTTTGGGGTTTGTTGGGGGGCCATCAACTCTTGACCTCAGAAGTCTTTATTTAAAATATTACAGCCCTGCTCAGAATCCCTCATATTTTACAGTATGTATTGGATTGGATTTTAATTATGTGAACAATTAACACCAATCATGCTGCTCAAGAAACAATATACCCTTCTGGTCTAATGACGTCCGTGGTCAAGGACATCCACTACCCCTTGTTTAGAGATGACACTGGGCTCTGTTAAAGATGGAGTTAGACGAGATGGTGGGCATTGTGACTGTTTGTTGCTTCCAACTGAAGAAATAAGTCCAGTGTGAATGAATAATAAGTGCAAGATGGTAAATCTTGTCTGCATGGAAAGCCCATGGGACTGACAGAAGTACATTTTCAGTTTTCTTTTTCTACAGTATTTTAGCAGAACTAGATTGGAGTGTTATTTCATAACAAGATAATGAGATGGCTAATTACCACATTTATGAATGGATACAGTCTGTTTGACCGGGAACTTGTGGAAGCAAATTCAGAAAACATGAACATTCTTATGAGACATACTTATTCTTAAGAAAGGAGTGAGAAAATGAAGACAGAAACCATTAGAAGTTCACAAATTAACTGAGAGAGAACAGCTCTACATTTCATGCTTGAATTGTCTGTTCTCATACTGAACCTCAAACAACATGTTAGAATTGTAAATTGAACAAGCTAATGAGACGGCCAAAACCAACAGCTTTGGAGCCAACTAGAGCTGGAAACTCTTAATTATAACTTTGTCATACCTTCATGTGAGGAAAGGCCATTCTGTTGTTTGCAATACTTGTTATTTGGAAAAATAAAATTTCAAATATTCCTTAGTGGTAACATGTAATGTTTTTTTGTGGCTGTAAAATATTGTCTTTCCTGTGCATAGTACTGACATTGTTTTAATTGGATGTAATATTTGTCTTTATCATGGCCACATACATGATATTTAAGAAAATTAAAGTATAAATAAAAGTATTTCACAGAGCTCATTTTGCAAACATACTCTCAGACAAGATTTACAATTTATCTGCTTTCTGTTCCAAATGTATGGACAGAAGTTGTTTTCTGCTCACGCAGTCATTTTGAATACTCTACAAAAGACATTTAGGGTGTAGAATCTGATATCTGACAGAATTCAGACTATTGGAAATGCATGGTAAATGTCTCCTTTGTTAATTGTCAGTGCTATTTTGATATATATATTTTAAATTATTTTATTTTGACATTGTTATATGTTTGTTATATTTTTAGTATTGTTTAATCTGTGGCCTGACTTTGTATGATTTTGTTTTATGCTACAGTCTTGGCCAGGTCTCCCTTGCAAAAGAAGTTTCCAAATTCAGTTGGACTCACCTGATTAAATAAATGCTAATTATAGGTCAAATTAGGGCAACACGTCAAAATGATTCTTTAAGTACCACTGCATAATAATAATTTTTCCTCTTTAATTTCATCCCATTATAATGAAACTTGTATGGCTATAATTACTATATACATTGTCCACTTGGAGATAATTTCATTTAATAAGTCATGGCAGTTGTGAGTCTTTTATTCTTAATTTTTAAATGGTGATTGTACTTGTATAGCACCTTTTTTAGTCTTCCGCCCACTGTGCCTTTACACGTCGCATTCACCTATTCACACACATACTGATGACAGAGACTAAGGTGCCAGTTGCTCATCAGAACAGAAATAACATTCACACACAGATGGAACAGCCATCGTGAGCAATTTGGGGTTTAGTACCTTGCCCAAGGATACTTCAACATGCAGACTGGGGGAGCGAACCACCGACCTTCTGAAAAGTGGATCACTGCTCTTACCCCCTGAGCCACAGCCGAAATTAAATATTTGCAGTCATGCATGTAGGCATATGCGGTAAATATCTTGTGTTTTACTAGTGTTATTATGTAGAATGCTAAATAAAGGTTAAATGAAAAGAGATTATTTGGAAAACCTCCAAATGTTTGATCACCAGGGTATTCATATCATGAAGAGTCTTTGGATTTATCGCTGTTCTTTTCTATTATGTCCTATTTTATTCTATTACGTATCTATTATGTTCTACAATATTCTATTCTGCTCTGTTCTATTCTATTTATTATGTTCTAATCTATTTTTCTCTAGCCCAGTTAAGTTTAGTTGAGTCTCCCCGCTGTCGTCACATTACAAGGACTCAGTCATTCATCTAAATCTGTTTCAAGCGGAATCAGTTCTGCCACTAGATGGAGGTCAACCCTGTATGAAATATGTTCTTTCTATTATGTATTGCTTGTGTGTATGTGTGCGTGTTTGCGTGCATGTGGGTGTCTATTTCCTAGCCAAACACCACAGACATTCTGTAGAAAAATGCAAAGATAAACGGGATGCTGTTGTCAACATGTAACATTCCTTTATTTGTGTATTTCTCTCCCTTCAATAAGAAAACATTCTTGCTGATGTCTACATGTAATGGAAATTACATTTCTGGAACCGTTCCCTTGAGGCTTGCCATTTGAGGGCATCAACAATCAATACATTTGTACTCACCTTGTGCGCAGCTGCTGCAGATAATAAGGCATCAGCGGGAAACATGGAGGGCCTAGATGAAGGATAGGCGATTCTTCTGCTCTGCTCTGTGACAATCTGTAGCCAAGCCTTACACAAGCATACACAGTCCCTATTAAATATTGCACTATTCTTATTCGCCCAGACCCACGTGGACAGGAGGATTATGATTTGTTATTATGCTAAATTAAAATTAGCATAAATATAACTAATAGTATACTGCTGTTTTGGGGACAGTCGTGACTGTCCATAAACCAGTGTAGTACTAGTGCAGTATTGTTGGTGTGATATTGTTTGTTATTGTTGTTCGACTAAAACCCTCATTCATATGCATACATTTTAAGCATGTTGTAAACATAGACTGTATGGTTGTAAAGCATGACTTTATAATTGTAAATTGTATCTTGTTACTCTATCACCGGTCCACAATAAGCTGTGTGGAGAAGGAGGCATAATTTCCCTCAGTGTTTCTATAGTAACGGTAGGTTAAAAACAAAAACAAAATTAAATGATACCTAGTTGACAGATCCTGTTCAACCACAAGATCCACTGTGCCTTACCAGAGTGCCTCTCACCCCCTGAGAGAGCATGACAAAGCTGGAAATAAAGGGCACGGGTTCCTGCTCTAGTGGTGCGGACCTGAACTCCCCTCTGTAAAAGGTACATCTCAAAACCATTATTTTATATCAAACCTTGCACAACAACTAACAAAATGAATTAATTAATTTTTTTTAAACCAGCTGTTCATGTGGATGCTCCTAGTGAGGAAAAACATCAACAAGGACAACAAGGACAACAAGGAGGCCAAGGTACGGTCTTTTATTATGTAAAAAAAGAATTTGATATCCAGTGTAGTTTGGTTAGAGCTAAGAGCAAACACAGGAGCGTCTTGAGACAGAGATGAGTTGCATTAGGAAAGGTTTGATTATGATACATCATAATGAATGAATGAATTTTTTGAAAAGTTGTTTATGTGGATGTTCTAGCTTCAACAAGGATGCAAGGTACAGCATTTATAATCTGTAAAAAAGAATGCAATATCCAATGTAGTTTTGATAGAGCTAAGAGCAAACAGGGGAGCAACTTGAGACAGAGATGAGCTGCTTTATGAAAAACAATTAGACCATATACACTGCCAAGACAGAGTGGCATTCAGTATAAGCTGCAGATGAAATAAAACCAAGTGGATCCTTGAATGGACCCCCATGAATGGAGGGTTGGAGTTTTGTCTGTCCTATTCAATAATGTCTAGTTATGTTCCTACATGATTGCTTAGATGTGTTTTCTCCTACTTTGCACCAACAGTCTGTATTCTTACATGGTTACTGTTCAGGTGAAACATTTTTTAATTTAACACAGAGCAAAAAGAACAGTGGATTAGTGCGATTGTGAACAGTTTTATTAATAGTTTGAATAAAAACGTTTTCTTTTTTTAGCACACATTCATGAGACAGTTTTAGAGAGATTAGCAGACAAAGAACACCCAAGATTGATCCCTGAGGAACACCACAATGTGCCTCGCAAATGCTAAAATGTTATCAGAGCATAATATATACTATTACAGAGGCAATGAATGATCCATGATCGATCGAGATTTTCTTCGCATCTGTCAGATTAGAATGCCATTTTATTTAAAATGCTGCATCCAGCATTTACGAACAAGGACATTTTAAAGTCAGTTTGATTTGAGATATTTCATTGTTGTGCTGCATCTTGAAACCAGCGAAAAGAAAAGTTATTTGTTAGTTAGTTGTTTGGGTAAAGGGTAACACTTTCCACAGAAGCCTTTAAAGGGAAGTGAGAAAAAGTCTGATCTAAATTGTTTTCTTTCTTTTGTTTATGACTTAAGAACAGGAGGATCTTTCTATGTTCCTTATTTGCCAGGTGAAAAAGATAAGTTTTGCCAGGATAATTTTTAAGTCCCTTTTTTTCATCTGTAAAATCTGTTTTCGTTGTAATACTCATTTTGGCCACAGTAATTTAACATAACTTGATAACATACAATGCATTGTGTTCAGAAGAAAACATGAATACTATCCTATTTAGAACATAAGGTAGTGGTGCAATATAATGTCATTATAACTATTACAATGTTGAGCATGAAGTTTATTCTAGACTTTGGCACAAAAATAAGTAAAAGTTGTCATCTCCATGACAACTTAGCAAACTGAATTTTGAGGGCAGTGAGATGAGGTTGAAGTCTCTGGAACAAGTGGGGTGCATTTTTCTTTATTTCTTACAGCCTCTTACGGTGTAAAGTAATAGTAAGTATTTCAATTAGCTCTGACAGTGGAAGTTTTGCAGCCACCACAGCTTGTGCTGCAAGAGGCACTTTTGTATCTATTAACTTGCTTTAACCAAGATAGCTAGAACATATTTTCTTAACTGTAGCACATACAAAAGGTACTGCAGAAATTACATTACATTGTTGTTTTATACCCCAGTACACACCTGGACATTGTAAACATTTAAAATTGATGTCTAGTATCACTGAGGTAATAGAACCACTGAGTTATTGAGAGAATAGCAGCTTTAAAGGTCCAATGTGTACCTTGGCCACATGCCCCAAACAAATAGGAGGATCTGTGGGGAGGGGTTTCTCTTCTGCCTGTCGCTTTCTGTTAAGACACAGCCGCTCAAATATATGGAATAAGTACACAATATAAAAAACACAATATCAAACAGCAGTAAAACTATTTCTAAAATTTGTTGTGCCAAAAGGAAGCAGGCTGCATTCCGGGGTGCTGTGTGGTACACCACCCATGTGTCTCCGTACAACAACAATTTCACACCCAGTCTGCCCAGTCAGCAACAGGGGCGATCAAGTGGTGGCAGGAGACAAAAAAGTAGAGGTAAAGGAAGAACGAATGGTCGAGGAGGGTGAGGGAGAGAGAGAGAGCAGCTTGTGCAGCAGCATTGATTGACAAGCCCTCGGAGCAGCTCTGCTTTGTCGTCCTCTCAGGCACAAGTGGTATTACAAGACAGGACGGGCTGAGGCTTTCTGGTTAGCATGCTAACTTCAGATATCTCCGCAACACAATACATAGATGTATTTGCAATGATGTCAGAACTGTTCCCTTTTCACACTCATCATGTTTTAAACAAACATTCTGTCAAAATCGTACACGTACTTTTACATGTGCCACTAACAAGACAGATTTTGACAGATTGCATTATAATGTGTAATAAAAATGTTTATATTCTGCTACAGAGCAGACATTCATTTTAAGTTCTTGCGGCATTTAATTGAGGTCAAACTGAATTCCTTTAATAGTAGCAGGATAGAGGCTTCCTATTGAAAGAGTCTTGGAAAATGGCACAGTAAAAGAGACTGTTTTGGCCATCTACTTATGCTCTATGTCAGGGTTCAGCTCCTTCAACAATGGGGATTGTGATTTTAAATGTCATTGCCAACATTAAGCAGCATT